ACTCAAGTCTTCTTGATGTCAGGCCCAAAAGTCTATCCACTATGCTACCCAGCCACCCAAAGCATATTACAATAGTACCTGCTCAGAAACTTATAGTCTTAGAGTTGTTTGGGGGTCCTGATAGGTTAAGTTATTTACCCTGGGTGACTCCATCAGCATGTGTCAGAAATAAGATTAGAACTCAGATCTTCTTGATAACCATGCCACCTTACCATCCACTATCCCAAGCAGCCTGTCAGTCTTTTACGCAATTTCATAAGTCTTTACTCCTCTCTATCAAGTACGTAGCACTTCATTCACAGCTAGTTTTCATAGATGCAAACTATAATCTCTTTTAGTTGGCATAAAACATTATTGTTATTCTTCTAGTTTTTATTGTATAATTGTAAAGTTTTTTACTGCTATTTTTAGTGTGATGTATATTCAAGTATTATAAGAATAATGGAAAAAAATTCCACTTTATTTCCTGTTGTATCCTTTGACATTTATATTTAAAGAACTAAATGAATGGATCCATTTTTACACCCGTGTTACTATTTTAATCTCATGAATCTTACTTGCTTATATTTCTCATATGCTACACTCATATTTCTTGTGTTTTTAGCTTTGTGTTAATTACATGAATCCTACTTCTTGTTCTATGCCACATCCTTGACCAAGATGTTATTCATTTTTGAAGGAATATTAATAAAGCATACCTAACCACATAGTGGATAGAATACTGGGCTTGGAGTTAAGACCTGGATCAAATTCCAGGTGCTAGTTACCAGCTGTGTGAGTGTGGGCAAGTCTCTTCAACCTCTCTGAGCCCCTGTTTCCTCATCCATTAAAGGAAAGTGGTTATATTAGATAATTTCTAAGGTCTCAACTAGCTCTAAGGCAATGATCCTAGTTCAACTGAAATGAAAAGGTAGAGATGAGATTGACTGTTTTCTTTTTTGAACTTTCCTGGTAGTTTGTACTTTTGTTCACTGCCTGTATTTGCTTTGCTTGCTTTTATGCATGTCCATTTTCATCTTATAAGTCCATTCAGAGCAGGTATTACATCTTATTTGTCTGTATATCTCCTTCAACACCTTTTAGAGTCCTTTGCAGATAGTAATGATGCCTAGTAATTGTCATTGTAGAAGGCATTTTGGATGATTAGGAATGGGTCGATTTCACTCTCTCTAAGCATGCTTGTATGACTTATAAAAAATTTGAAGGACGTAGTTTCTGGATAATTAATCATTTTATTAATTGTGGTAACATATAATTAACAAAAGGGTCAGTGGCTCTCTCAAATGCCATCGTTCCCTAATGGAACCCCCTCAATGCTTATATGCCCTTGGAAGAGTGATGTTCCTGAGGGTGGCAATCAACTTTGATTGGTAACAATTAATGAGAGAATGAATATTATAATGAGAGATGGACTTATTTTAATGAGGGTCTGAGGGACTTGACTCTAATCACTCCGTCTTGGTCAAAGAGACTTATCTATACCTATATCACTCCACCTATGGTCATCTAGACAAAAAGGACAATCTGCTTTTTCCACAGCTGTCTTAGTAAAACACAATGGACCAGAATCCATCAATTTACCTAAACTAAAATTTATTTACCTTTGGAACAGATACGAGTTTTCCCTCTCATTATCAGCCCTGTACTTCAAAGGCTGCCTGGATAACCTTCAAGGGCTGATTTCTGAATGAGGAAATAAAAAGGGGGAAAACTTTTGATCCTAATTCAATAATTGGTTATTAATATAAGAGAAAAATAATAATTTCTTTCACCTGACTCCAACATGTAGGCTGACTTCTCCAGAGTTCTCAGCATGGTTACTCATTCTCCAACCTCTCTCTTGCCACTAGTGGTGAGGAGAAAACCCAAATGCTCCTATGTCTGAGTGATGGGCCTACTTGAGGTGAGATAGGATGGAGGTTTTAGTTTCATGTGGCTTCCTTTCTTTGACAATACAGAAAGCTTAAAAACACAGATAATAAATAAAATTCATAAATGCTCTGAATGCTTTGGAAATCTGTTGATTAACAAGCCATTTTGGTGGTCTAGACAGCTGACTTTAGTAAAATCAATTATTTGCAGGTCCTCCCTTCCCCTTCCATACCTCCTTATCACACTATAGCAAAAATATCAGGGCAAATACAATTCTTTATCTAGAAAGTCATTATTTAAACATTTGAATGACCAGTAAGCACAATTTGAAATAACATACATATACTTAATAATCAATCTTTCGACTCATTGCTTGTGAAGGGAGAGACAGAGAATGAAGTAAATTTGTCATTGTTTCAGTGGTTTCTCTGAATTGACATAATTCAGTCACTCCCTGATGGATACTGCTAATAAGCCTAGTGTCAATCCAGGGCAAGGAAAAGGCTCTAGCTGCTTAGAGTGAGTCTCCTGGAAAACATATTCTTTCTGCTGTTACTTTTATAGCTCCTACTGCTGCTCATTGTCTGCATTCCTCTACAGAGAAATTTGAAAGCTGCCACTGTACTGGAAAATTCTACCTTCCAGTCTTTATCTTGACTCCTCTAGCTTCCTCTCATCACAGGTTGGGAAGAAATACAGAATGTCCCAAAAAATCTTAGTGCAATCTTAAGCTGAAGCTTGACTTTTGGGACACCTTATACAACACTTTAGCTACCGGGGTGCTTTTTATAAGGCATCCAGTCCAAATATTGGCAGAACGACTATTACAGTAGTCATTTATTAAATGTTCTCATGTGTTGAATTGAAAAGAGAGAGAGATACAAAGTAGAATTGAGAAGATGTGAGAAACAGAGGAATGAGAAGTTGAATGTACTTACCATTCATTTTATGTAGACATACACACACAAATACAGAGACAAAGAGAGACAGAGACAGACAGAGAAAGATGGAGACAGAGAGAGAGAGAGAGAGAGAGAGAGAGAGAGAGAGAGAGAGAGAGAGAGAGAGAGAGAGAGAGAGAGAGAGAGAGAGAGAGAGAGGAGAGTGAGAGAGAAGACAGAGAGACAGAGACATGCATAGAGGCAGAGACAGTCTGTCAGAGACAGAGACAGAGAGAAGCAATAGGGAGAGATACATCTTCAACCTATAGGATCCCAATATTATTCAGAAATATTGCTTTACATTTCCTTTGGTTCTCTTTAGGACCGTAGATCTACATCCAGAAGCTCAGAGGTCACCTAGCCTAACTCCCTCACTTTACAATGAGGAAACAGAAGCCCAAGGGAGGTTAAGTGACTTGCCCCAAATCAAACAGTGGGATGTAAACCCAGGTCCTTTGACTCCAGGGTTAGTGCTCTTTCTCCTGTCCCAGGCTGCCTCCTTTTATTCTGTGTATACTACATTTTATTCTTCTCAACAGGATCGCTGAGGCTTCATCCTACTCATATAAAGTGGATTTATTAGAAGTTTGAAAGGAGGGTGTTTTTTAACCTTCACCAGGAGTCGCCTACCTCTTAACATCACTCTATTTATGTGACCAGTTATATTTTAAAAAGTTATCTTAATTAAATATCTTTCCAATGCATGGCATTATTCCCATATCACCATTGTTTCATAGGATAAAAACCAGAGGCTTAATGAGTTATTAATAATGATAATAACAAATAGCATTTATATGTAGTACTTTAAGATTTGCAAAGCATTTTACAAATATTTCATTTCATCCTCACAATAATCCAGGGATGTGGGTGCTAGCCTTATCCACATTTTACAGATAAAGAAACTGAGGCAGGTAGACCACATTCTAGTGTCTGAGTTAGGACTGGAACTCAGAGTTTCCTAACTCCAAGTCTAGTACTCTATCCACTGTTGACCAGGGAATCAGGAAACCTAGAATCCAGTTCTGCCTCTATCCCTAACTAGCATGGTGCCTTATACACAATAGGGGCTCGCTATTGACTCAGGACAAGTCATTTAAGCTCATTTTTTTAAATCTATAAAATGAAGTAATAGGATTAGATAGTCTCTTAGGTTCTTTTCAACTTAAATAACATTTCCTCCATTTCTCATGAACAATTTGCCAGCTTTATGTAAGGGATGTGTCAACTTGCTGTCACTTCCAATATCATAATTTGCTTTTGACTCATGTTCTAAGACTTAAGAGCCCCTAAAACTATTAGTCATAGTTTACTTGTGTTATTATTAAGAGATACTCTTTGGTAGCTTGAAGCTTTGGCAGCTTTCCTTTGGAAGGAAGAATTTATAAAATAGTGAAAAAATATGTTACTATTTTGTAAAATATTTGTAAAAAATATGTAAAATATTTTTGTTTTATGCACACACACACACACACACACACACACACATATACATACATAGTTGTCTTCGTGTTAAAGAGAAGAAAATTAAAATGTTCAATGACCCATGACTAGCTTAATGTTGCCTGCAACCAGATTGTACACCGAACGGAGAGGCATGAAATAACTTGTGACATGGGCCAGGCGGAGCAGAATTACTGACTCAGTTTATTCATCTGAGGGTACAGAATATATAGAGAAAATCTAGCCTAACTTCAAAGAGTCCTCCCCGTGAGATACTCCCCAGAACATCTGCTGAGGATGTGACAACATGAATTTCCTCGTTATCAGGATTCCTAGATTGGGTTGTATTTTCCAAGGTTTTCCCAGGCACCTTGGTGCCACCTGCATAGAGGAGTGAATGTGTAAATCTAAGGTTCAAAGAGTGAGAAGGAATATCTCAGGGACCTCCTAATCAGGAAGGAATTGGAGAGCCATACCACTTAATCATTGAGCCCTTTTGGGTAAAAGCCTGGGCAGAGGTCAAACTCTGCCTTGGGTCTTAAACCCTTATCAGACTCTTAAGATCGGCCCTCAACAGCTTAACTTCAGAATAAAGTACTATATTAAATTTATCCCAGAATTTTTAGTTTCCACGGTTCTAAAGGGTTAGTCTTTCTGGTCTCTTCTAGCTCTAATATTCTATGGTTCTGTAATTTAATACATAAATCTGACATTGATTGAAAAATTGAATTTTCTTTTGTATTACAGATATACAAAGATGAAGACAGCAACCAACATTTACATATTTAATTTGGCTATGGCAGATGCATTGGTTACTACCACTATACCGTTCCAAAGCACTGAATATCTGATGAATTCTTGGCCTTTTGGAGATGTGCTGTGTAAAATAGTGATTTCTATTGACTATTACAATATGTTTACCAGCATATTCACATTGACCATGATGAGTGTCGACCGTTACATTGCAGTGTGTCACCCTGTCAAGGCTTTGGACTTCCGCACTCCCTTGAAGGCAAAGATTATTAACATATGTATCTGGTTATTATCATCCTCTGTTGGTATATCTGCTATAGTCCTAGGGGGCACCAAGGTCAGAGAAGGTAAGTGTGGTCAGTGTTTAACTCTTTTAGTCTTACCCAAGCTTCCCTCCCTCCTCCCCCACCAATTGAAAATTCTGGTACAGAGTACAATCAGAGATAATCAACTGAGGGAATAAATTAGAATTCAGAGTGATCAGGAAAAGCTTCTAGAAGAAGGTGGAATTTTAGCTGGGATTTGAAGGAAACCAAAAGATAGTGATGTGGAGGGAGAAAATTCCAGGCATGGGAGATAGTGACTTTCTTCTATTTCAGTAATCATTTTAACCCATAGTAAGGGTACCACTTATTAGTTGGGACAGCTAAGTGTTGTTGTAGAAAGAGTACTGCATTTGTAGTCAGGAAGACTTGAATTTAAAGCCTGCTTAGCTATGTGACCCTGGGCAAGTCACTTAATCTCTTTCATACTCAGTTTCTTTATTTGTAAAATGGAAATGTAAAGAACTTTGTAAACCTTGGAGTGCTACTTAATCTATATCTGCAACTTATTATAAGCAAAAGCTATTTAGGCTTGAGCTATTTCATTACTTCAAAACAACCATGATACCTCAGTGTGAACGTTCCTACACTTCTTCAATTGGTTGTAGTCATTAATTGCTCTGATAAACAAATAGCAACAATAACAAAACATTATCCAGCAGCCATCCTTTTGCTGCCCAGACCTTTTGAATTCAGCTAGATGTGTCCTCTGATGTTAGATATCCATTCTGTTATCAGCTTGATTTAGACTCAAAACCTTTCTGCTTGGTAGGATCTGACAGATGTTACACATCTCTGATACAGCCCTTGAAAGTCTAGGGTCAACTTCATTATGATTATTTCCAATTTATCCTGTATATAGCTTGTTTGTATGTGTCCATTTGCAATTTTTTCTGCCATTAGACTGTAAACATCTTGGGAACAGAGGCTGTCTTTTGCCTTTCTTTGTATTCCCAGCACTTAGCACAGTCTGGCAGGCACATAGAATACTTTTAATGAATGTTAATTGGCTGAATGAATGAGACATCAGAATAAGACTTAAGTGTAGGTAGACATGACATATTCTCTAGAAAAAGTAACTGAAATTTATCTATAGCAATTGGAGATTTCATGGTAGTTTACCTATATCATCTCATTATACTCTCATTACATCCCTGGGAAGTAGGTGTTGCAGGTATTATCCTATTTTATAGATGAGAAAAATAATCCTGTTTACCCATTGTCACACAACAGAGATGGACTTTGAATCCAGAGAAATCCTTTTTTCCAAATCCAGCATTCTCCTTTCTATGATACACTGCCTTATATATATGCTATACAAAATATAGGATAGCATGCCTTTGGCTGGAATAAAGTGTATTTGTGATTATATTTGTTTATATGCTTTATTTTTAACTTTGTACAGTAGATTTGATCTGCAAAGTTGTTTACAAACCAAATATAACATAAATTGAGTAAAGTAATAATAATAGCATTTATATAACATTTTAGGTTTGCAAAGCACTTTACAAATATTACAATTAATCCTCACAGCAACCCTGAGAAGTAGGTGCTATTATTATCACTATTTTTATAGATGAGGAGTTAGACATTAAGTGTCTTGCCAATGGTCATACAGCTGATATCTGAGGCAAGTACATTTTGATACTGTATATGTATATCTATATCTATATATCTGTATATGTACATATATATATGGAGATATTGATGGAAAAGACTCTTAAGATACAGAATAAGTTTTAACCATCATATTGTTTAGATTTGTTTTTAAAGTACAGGTAATTCAGACAAGCAGTTTACACTACACTAATTCATGACCAGTCATTATTCAATTCAGTTTACATGAAAATTTGGTTTACATTAAACCATTTGGTCACTAGAGGAAAACAAGAGAAAAGAGAATCCTTAAAATGATATTTTATTGAATACCAAATAGCCCCAGTAAGAAAAAAAACAAACAACAGAAGAAAGGAAGAAAAATGGTGTCTAAATCTGTAAAGATAGGAATCACTTTTTTCGCCCAGGGGTGAGCAGGATCATTCTTGTCCACACTGATTTTGAGCTTTGTACATAAAAGAAAAAAAGGAAATGGATCTGACAAACATAACACAATTACTTGAGTGCATACCCAAAGGACATGCTGACTATTTGGTGCCCCATGGAACAAATCCAAATGCTAAACCACTCATAAGACAGACTAGGACTTTCCCTTTCCCTTCTCAGTAACAAGTCAGCACATCTTCAGCAGCACCGTTTATTTAGCTTTATGCATGTGAGAGTCCAGTCCACTCAGAATCACAGTAATAGAATTCACAAGTGAGAGATAGACAAACTGTTCAGGTTTAGGTCATTAGCTCATGTCCCCAGCCAAAATAGATCATTATTCTTTTCACTCTATTTCTACGTTTTTGTATCTCTAGGGGAAAAGGTACAGTTATGAAAAGAACTCTGCTCTTAATAGAATTTCATTTTTGCTGGCAGAACAATCACTTTGAAAATTATAGATGATGTTTCTCTCCCCAGCAATTGTGTAAGTGCTATAGTTCATGAATAACTGTGGGCACAGATAATTGACTACATATGGCTGTAAAATACTTTCAAGGTCATGGCTCAGGCACAAGTCCTGAAATAATAACATATCTTATATGGTAAAAGTAATTTAATAAAACACATGATGTTTTTCTCTTATAAAACTGTGGACTGAATTTCCAACACAGACACAGAGGGTTATAATTGATAGCTATTTCAAGATACCCAAATAATCTCTCTCTCTCTCTCTCTCTCTCTCTCTCTCTCTCTCTCTCTCTCTCTCTCTCTCTCTCTCTCTCTCTCTCTCCTCCTCCTCCTCCTCCTCCTCCTCCTCTCCCCACCTCCTCCCTTTCCCTCTCTCTCTAATCTTTTCCCTTTATCTTTCTCTTCCTCTCCCTCTTCTCCCTCTCTTTCCTTCTCTCCTTTCCCTTTCCCAATTTCCTCTCCTCCTCCTCCCTTTCCTTCTCTCTCTCTTTCTCTGTCCCTCTTCTCTCTCCTATTTTCTACCTCCAATTGTCTTCTCTCCTTCTACCGATGCCAGTTTGCCCCTCCTTAGAAAACCTGCTGGCCCTCTGCTTCTGGGAACTCATCATATTAATGCTGGACATTTGTGTGGCCACCTGATACACTTAACTCTCTACATCTCAGATGAAAATCTCAAGCTTAAGAGGTCCACTAGCTTTAGCCACTTCTAGTAACAGTCATGTCAGATATACACAACCATAACTCTCTCTTAAAGGGAAGATATATTATAGCCTCAAACACATCTGGAATTTGTTTCTTATGACCTCAGAGAAACACCCATGATAGTCTGTTTTAATTCCTAGGTCTTTGTGCATAATTAGAAGTCAGAATCAAGGTAAGGAATCACAGATATAAATTTCCTGTAATGTGTGAAGAAATGGGCTAAGTGATAGGAGAATATAAGCACATTGAGGGCAGAAGCTGTTACTATGTTGCATTTACTGGACACTAAATCAGCACAGAAAAAAAAATATTGCTTTTGCGGAGTAGTAAGAGTATAGTGGGCATCAAAAATTTTCCTTTATGAAAATTTTCTAAGAAATGAGTTTTTGTATATTACATAGAATATTAAGCATGTTAGGAATTTTTTGTGATTGACAACATGATATAGTAGAAAAAGTACTGGAAAAAAGAGTCAGAAGACCTAGGTTTGAATTCTGGCTCTCATATTTACTATCTGCATGAATCTAGGCAACTCATCAGATTAAGGTTGGTAATGAATACAGATTGCATTTAGAGGTACAGCATCTAGGAGCCGGGAGTTAATAATTTCATTATCTTGGTTCTCCCAAGGTCAGATGACAACTGGAGTTTTGTATTAAGTTCTCGACAACACATTTTGGGAAGGTTATGAATATGCTGGTGAGCAACCACAATGATGAACATGCCTCTAGCTAATGCTAAATGAGGATAGATTCAAGAAACTGTGAGTGTTTAGCTTGGAAAATAAATGGCCTGAGACTTGATAGGCACCTTCAGGTGTCTGAAGGACTGTCACATGCAAGAAGGATTATACTGTTTAGTCTAAGAGCAACTAGTGGGTATTTCTGAGACAGATTAAGACTCGGTGGGAGGGAAAAAAAATCTTCCTAACAATAAGAGTTTTACAAAAGTGGCAAAGCCTGCTTTGGGTGGTAGAAGCTTCTCTCTCCCTGGAGGTTGTTTTTTTGTTTTATTTTTTGGCTAGGCAATGGGGTTAAGTGACTTGCCCATGGTCACACAGCTAGTGAGTGTTTTGTGTCTGAGGCTAGATTTGAACTTATGTGCTCCCAAGTCCAGGGCCAGTGCTCTATCCACTGTACCACCTAGCTGCACCTACCTGGAGGTTTTTAAATGAAGGCCTGATGACCACTTGGGTAAGAGGTGGCATATAGATAGTGCTTGCTTAGGTGCAGGGTAGACTCAATGGCCTCTGAGAACCTATAATTGTAGGCTTAAATTCTGTGAATTTCAGGTTCATCTGTAAAATGGTGGGGATAATAATGGTTACTTGCTATACTTATTTCTTCAGGATGTTGTTAGGAAAGGGCTTCATTAATCATAAGGTATTATAAGAAGTTATTATTATATATTTAAATTTATGTATTTTCGGAACTCATAGGTTTTCTCAACTACTAACTCTTTAAAGTACCCTTTATTAGTATGTTTGGCAGTTAGGTGGTACAATGGATAGGGCACTGGACCTGGAGTCAGGTAGACCTAAGTTTAAATCTGGCCTCAGACACTTACTAACTGTATAACCTTGGGCAAGTCACTTAACCCTGTTTGTCTCAGTTCCTCATTTTTTTTTTGTTAGGCGATGGGGTTCAGTGACTTGCCCAGGGTCACACAGCTAGTAAGGGTGGTGTGTCTGAAGCCGAATTTGAACTCAGGTCCTCCTGCATCTACGACTGAACGATAATAATTATTACAAAGATTCATATACTTGCACTGGAGTCTTACAACTGTGACTCATCATGGCATGGCTATGATTGTACCAAAGGTTATGAGAGAAAGTCTTGAACTCAGTTCAACTACTCAGCTGAAATGTCTTCAGGTGTGAGCTTTATGATGGATTTGTACGTCTGCTGTCTGAGTATTCAACTAGACAGGTTTGGAAGAGATAATTAATGAATAATAGCCAACAGGTGAGTAATTTTCTTGGTTTCAGAAACTAGTAAAAATAATCTGCTGAAGCATGGGAAAGATTTAGTCATTCAAAAAGCATTTATCAAGTGACTAGTAGGTCAGAGACAACTTGGTGTAGTGGGTAGAGAGCTAGCCTGGGAACCAGAAAGTCCTGGGTTCATGTATTATTTCTGACACATACTGACTGAGTCACCCTGAGTAAACCACTTAAACTTTTGGTGCTCTAGGCAACTTTGTCGTGAAATTGCAGAGAAGGTATTAATCTGTACTGGTATAGGGGGTTCCCTAAATCAATAAAATCATTGGTTCAGTCCCTTTCTCAAACCCCTGTATGCATGACATACAGAAATACAAAAGTGAGATAGCCCTTTCCCTCGAAGGGCTGCAGTAGGATAAAAAGTTTACCGATAAGTAAATACAGGAGATATAAAAAACAAATAGCAAGTGATTTCAGGGAGATCTCTAGCAACTAAAGGTTTCAGGAAGGATCTCTTCAAAGAGGTGACATTTGAATTCAACTTTAGGGGTTCCGAGAGGTGGAGGTAATGAGGAAGAGTATTTCAAGCATGAGGGACAGCCTGTTGTATGGGAGGGGGAATATACCTCAGCCTAGAAAAACAGGCTGGAGCCAATTCTGAAGGACTTTAAATGCCAAATAGAGGACTTTGTATTTATATAGACCAGAAGTTCTTAATCTGGGGTTTGTGAACCTAAATGTTGGAGGGGGAAAAAGCAATTTCGTTTCACAATTATATGAGATTATTCCATTTTCTTCTACTTTTTAATAATTTTTATGTTAAAGTATATTTGTTGTTATTCCATTGTGTCTGACTCTTTGTGACCCCATTTTGGGGTTTTCTTGGCAAAGATACTGGAGTGGTTTGCCATTTCCTTCCTCAGTTCATTTTTTAGATGAGGAAAGGCAAACAGAGTTAAGTGACTTGCTTGGGTCACCCAATTAGTAAATGTCTGAGGCTGGATTTGAACTCAGGAAGATGAATCTTCTTGACTTCAGGCCCGGCACTCTATCCATTGGGCCACATCCATTTAGAAGCTAAAAATTACCATTTATTCTATTGGATTTTCATCTACTACCTTTGACTTGTATCTGAGTCAGCAAAAGGGATTGCCTGTAAAACATTTATCCTTATTAGTATTCACAATAATCTCATGCTTTGTAATTTGTGGGATGAGTTGTAGCATTCTGAACACAGCATGTTTTACTTTCATTGTGAGTTATTCGTTCTGGAAGGCACTTTATATTTTTAGGAAACATTTTTATGCTTTTTATGGAACAGAATTTTCTTATGTCAGAAAAAAAAATCATTCCATGACATTGTTGTTCACAATTCCTTTGCCCATTAGTAAGATTTTGTTTTGAAAATGTAAAGAAAAGAGTCCCTCTCTGTACTATCTCAACTGTTTTCTCATACACCAAAGGAAAAGGTGTGAACAAATAGGGCTGAGAAAGAAGGGAGCTGGGCAAACAGCCTCTGAATGTAACATTAATAAGGTTAGGACTAGGTTTCTGCTTCTTCCAATATTGAACCAAATCTATTTAACCAAAATGAAACAGAGAAATGGAAATAATTTTCTAAGTTAAAAGAAGAAAATTCACCATAGCCTTCTTCTTACATACTTTAGTATAAAGTAAAAATAAAATTTTGCCACCATTGTTCAGATAATTTCATAAAATTTTAGTTAAGTCAAAATTATTTTGTCCACATTTTAGGCAACAGCCCAAATATATCATCTGGGATCTTAGTTACTGAAAATTATTTTATAAAAAATGTGTGAAAGTCATTGGTGAAAAGTTAGTTTCTTTTTGGAGTCTTTTTTTTTCCCTTCAGAAGAGAAGCTGGAACTGATGTCTTCTCTCTCAGACCTGGAAACCAGAAAACCAGGATCTTTCTTCTTCAAACTCTCACCTACTTCTCTCCTTATTCAGGTGAAGAACATTGATCTTCACTAATAAGAAGAGTCCCTTACAAGTGGGTTTTGAGCCATAGATTACATTTATATTTAGGTCATTACCAGATTTCTTGCAGCCCAATCAAATTTCTTCCATATTTGTGAGTCTTTACAAAGTTTCATGGCAGGGTTCAAAGTTCTATTATTTAACACAACTGGATATTATCGTATGTTGTCAGTGGTTTAAAAATGGAAAAAAATACTTCAAAGAACTTTATAAAGGCTATTTTCCATAAGAAAAATATCACTTTAGTTACATATTGAAAATTAACAAAGAAAAATCCATTTTTAGTCATTAGAAATCTTGTATATTCCAAGGAAATGAACAAGGATTATTAATCTTATATATTGACTTACATTGCAACTAAAATACATTATGTAACCTGTGTATAATTGGCTATTTGGTACTCTTGGTCTCTACTGAAAGGTAATTGCCTTAAGGGGTGTAGCTTTTATTTGTACTTTGCCCATTTTGCACGATAATATCTTCTGCATAATTCACTTATGAAAATATAAAGGCTACTGGGCACATTTTAAATAATTGCAACAATGTATCTATAATAATTTATGGAATGTTCTAACCTTCTCTTTATTATTATTTTTTTCTGTTATTTCTTCTAGATATAGATGCCATTGAATGCTCTTTGCAGTTCCCAGATGTTGATTATTCCTGGTGGGATCTCTTCATGAAAATCTGTGTCTTTGTTTTTGCATTTGTGATTCCAGTTCTCATCATCATTGTGTGCTACACTTTGATGATCTTACGCTTAAAGAGTGTGAGGCTACTTTCTGGCTCTCGAGAGAAAGATCGCAACCTCCGCCGAATCACCAGGCTTGTTCTGGTGGTGGTGGCAGTCTTTATCATCTGTTGGACCCCCATTCACATATTTGTATTGGTTGAGGCCCTGGGGAGCACCTCCCATAGCACAGCAGTCCTTTCTAGCTATTATTTCTGCATTGCTTTAGGGTACACCAACAGCAGCTTAAACCCCATTCTGTATGCTTTCTTGGATGAAAACTTCAAGAGGTGTTTTAGGGACTTTTGTTTCCCATTTAAAGCCAGGATGGAGCGACAGAGCACTACTAGAGTCCAAAACACAGTGCAGGACACTCCCTACATGAGGGAGGTTGATGGGATAAATAAACCTGTATGACTAGTCGTGGAAATGTCATCCTATAGTTCTCCAGGAAGAGAGGAGTTCAATGATCTAGGATTAACTCAGATTACCACAGCAGTCTGAGCCTGAAAACAGAATTTTATTTTTGGAAAGACTTTTAGAAGTTCTTATGTTGTGCAGTCATGGCAAGAGCAAGCTGCTATGGCAGTCAAGCTCAGTTGACACCAAGTTTAAGACAGGGTTTGAGGACAAAAAAAAATCTAAGTAGGAAGGTACCTTCTTTAAATCGAGGAAATCAGACTATCTGACTGTTGTTGCTAGGGAAAAGAAAGTCAGATTTCCATCTTCTGATGCTTAGACTATGTTCCCCACCATTTTCTATGGCCTTATATGCAGAGATATCATTCCTATAGTTTTTTTTTTTTTAAGAAAAAGCATTTGCTTCAGAATGAAAGTGAATATTGTAAGGCCAGATTCTTGCAGAGTGGGAGCTTCAAAAATGATGGCCACTGTGAAGTTGTTCACCTTCATGGATAATAAGCATTTGCTTTGGTTGTGTGGCAAAAATTTCAGCTTAAGCATGGCCTGAATTTATATCTAAAGTGTGCAATGTCTCTGTGTATTGTGAAAGTCTTTTAATATTTACAAAAATAAAAATAAATTCTTAAGATGCCAGGAATACAGTTTCTAATATATTTTAGTGTATTTGGCACCTACAGATGATGCTTACTGCTTTTAGCTATGACTCTCTGGTATTTAAGGTGACAAATTATCAGATGTTAAGTCATGCCTTGGAAAATATGTTAGGAAAATCTTCCCTTGATCATCTGTGTACAAGAAGAGAACTAGTCAGAGAGTCTTTGGTTGATTGAAATATACCAGAGCTTCATCTTGAAATATTTTGCATATGTAGATAAAGAATGGGCTGGACCATCACTAGCTCTTCTTGATATGTGTGTCTAATTTGAAAATAAGCCAAGCAGCTAATTCATTCATTTGGAGTGATGACATTGCTGGCAATCATTATAGTAGTTGAAACATTTCTCCAGTCATTAAAGTATTTCCTGGGAATTAATCATAGGACTTTTGGAAGTAGTCCATTTCTTTCAGATAGCTAGAATACCTGTATACCTGCTTACTCCCAAAGAATTCATTTTTAAAGTTTCCTGAAAAGCATAAGATTGATCCCATCATCAGTATAGACCAGCAATTATTTACAGAGAAAGCCCACCTTCACTCTTCCTGTGGTGGGACAGACAGTGAAATGACATTCATGGGCAGAGTGTGGAAATGATATGGTTTTGTTTTGTCATGCCTTAGGTTGGATCACTCTACTTAAAGAAGGAGTAATTGAGGTAGAGCCTTAGCAATCCATGTACTGTGATCTTGCCACTTGGACTCAAGGCTCTAAAGTGAGAAAATTTCAAAATAGTATAGGTGTAATGGGAGTTGTACCTCATTTGTCCATTCTTTTTATCTCCAAAAGCTAGGGTACGTTCTCCCTTGTTCATTGCTTTGACATATGCCTGGGCCAACAGGTAAATTTGGGACTAAGGCTTTTTCCTCAGTAGGTACAAGTTGAGCCCCATCTAGGGTTTAAAGAGGCATGGAAATATACATATCTATGAAACTCTAAGGTATTTTAATTCTTGTGGGAATATTCCTTCTTTCTCCTACAGTCTTATGTCTATGCGATGTTGAAACTAAAACTTGGCATTTAAGGAGTTAAACAAATGTTTTCAAGGTTTACCTCAACTGTATTAGCTTGCCTATATCTTAGATCTCCACAGTACCTAACGTAGTGTTCCTAAATTATTTGGACTGTGTGACTAGATATATTTCTAATTGAAAATTAAGGAATTTTTATATCATATTTCATTGAAATATCTAAGCATATTTGTGCTTTTATAGTCAGGTATATATAGCCAATTTTAACATTTATTGACTATAATGTGATATATTCAAATACTTCAGCTGCCATACTAGATGGATATGTTTATATACACCCACATATATATACACATATGTATACAAATATATGTGTGTGTGTGTGTGTGTGTGTGTGTGTGTGTGTGTGTGTGTATACAGTGGCTTGAGGACATGTTACTAGGGGAGTGTAATGAGGTCTTAAGCATATTATACATAATATTTATAAATATCAAAACAATCTCACTTATTTCCTGGAACATTAAACTTGTATGTTCATACTCTAGGCCCCCTATTGCTGTTTTTACCCCATGGAGTAAATAAAAACATGGCTTGGAATGAGATTCTAGGAAGTGCACATGAAGTGTCCTCGTGCTAGTGCCCTGATTGGCACTGAGGTCATCTGAGCCTTGTGCATGAATGTAGGACATCTCCCCATCTCTTGTGCCAGGGATGCTCGGAGAATTCTTATGACACTCATTAGGACTATGGGTGCTCCCTTGCTATTGCTGCCAATATTTCCCCCAACACTTTTAGGGGATTTCTGCAGTAAGATTAACAGTAGGAAGTCACAAAATACATAGAAAGATGCAAAGTTTAGGGATATAGTAATAAGAGAAGGGTGTGATGCATGAAAACCTCTTTGTCAAAAATATAGCCTGGGTTTTTATGCTCCTCTCTCAAAAATATTTTTTGATGTGTGGCAGAAGTGACAATGGTTGTGTTAAGTGCATACTCTCAGATGATGGCATTGTCAAGGGTCCTCTTCTATTAATCCCCTTCATGTAATATTGTGATGCTCCACTCCTCTCATCTCAACAAGAAAGCATAACAAAATACATGAGTGTCTCTCTGAGGTCAGAAAACAACCTTAGGGACTGCTTCCCCATGTTTTTTCAATTTCTCCACCTTCCTAGTTTTCCCAGTGATCATTTCTATCACATGGGTTTGTTACAGAGGATTAAGGGTTTGGAAAGAGATACAGTGAGATAAATCAGTCATCAGTGAGGAGGATAGATAGAAGAATAAAAAGAAAGCCTCTTGAGTGTCCAAGATCATTATTATGACCCTGTCCAGAATAGTTGTTCAGAAATAGCATTTTAAAAAATTACAATTATTGCAAATTGAGAGGCAGCCATGGTGCAGTGGATTACTGGACAATCTAGTTTCAGGACCTAATTCTGATACATCCTATCCGTGTGACTGATTAAATGACTTAACTTCTCAGTGCTCTAGACAAGTCTTATACATTACAAAGTGCCAACCAATTTAGGCAAAGGGAACTTCTTCACCTGAGAATTTCCTATCTGAATGAAATCATAGGTATAATCCCTAGCCCTCTAGTCTATTGATTTATAGTGATAACTGAAAAGAAACTTCAGAAAATTTCAAAGTACAGTCACTTAATTTCTAACAATCAAGTGCTATCTGGGAGTGCATCTCTGAGCAAAACTTGGCCCTCATCTTGTACAGTGACTCTCATCCCTTTTATAATTATTTAGTGTGTAAAATGTGGCATGACAAGATGTATAATTGAAGTAAAAGGAATATATTTGGCTGGATTTCTATTAACACTTTCTCACGGAGAGAACTGTGACTGGGCTGTATGGTCCTTTCATAAGAATTGTTTGATTCAGCAGAAACGTGAAAACAATGTCTAAAAAAAGAAAGAGCTTTTTTTGCCCTAATGAATTCTTCTAGTCTCCAGAACAAAAGTATCTTCTTGTTTCTTTTCTAAGCTCTGATAGAAAAAATATATGCATATATTATGTACATACTTATATTCTAAAATGGTGATATATTATGCATTGTGTATATGGTTGTGCCTTGTGATAAAATATTGTACTGAAAAAAAGAAACAATCTCTCAACATTCATTTGTTATGTTGATTCATTTATTCTACTACACTCTCTAGATTTATATTAAGAAAAATAAGGTATAGTGATGTCATAATAATGTAGAGGTGATTTGGAACTGTTCCTTTCCCATGGAGAGAATATAGAAACATTAAGAGATAATTAGAATATTGGAATTGAATTACTTTGGAAACTGCCAAAATTCTATCTTTTCCCCCAAAGAGCATTGAATTAGAAGTAAGCAGAAGACGTGGATTCAAATTCTAGTTCTACTTCTTACTTTTGTGACTCTGGGAAAATCTTTTAACTTCTGAGAGTGTCACTTGTGCACTTATAAAATGAAAGGGTTGGTAGATCATTGATAGGGTAATTCTCACCTCTAAATGTTGTGGTTGAATTCAGTTTAATTGGAAAAACACTGAAGAGACTTACTCTGTGCAAAGCACTGTTTGATAGGCTCTGGGAGCAAAAAGACAAAAACCAAAAACCTAAAACTAAATAGCCCTTGTCTCTAAGAAGCAAGGATCCTAAAATTGTAACTCTAAAATTTAGGAGAAACAGCAACAACCAAAAAATTGATTTAGAATTAATTGGAAGTCCTCTTTGTTAAAGTGCTTAGTCATTTAGGGGTTCCAAATGAGTGGAGGAAGACTTTTATTTAAGGGGACACATGGATAATTAAGAATCTATTCCAATTATCTTAGTGTAATACAGAGATATGCCAAATGTTATCTAGGGTTAGTGGCTGAGCCAGATTGTCCCCGGAAAGCCACTGTTAAATGTACTTTACTCAAAGGTTAGGTAGGGCATAGACAGAGTTGGCACATCAGGTTGATCTATTTCTGTCCCTTCAGCTTCTGATGAGAAGATAAAGTGCTATCCCTGTTTCTTTGCTACTGATCTTCCCTTTGGGGTTTCTCAGCATCTCAGTTGGATAAACCAGGTTGAACCTACTCGTGTTTGGTTAGTTGGGGTTTTACAACACATAGATCTTGCAGGGTTTCCTCATCCCATACACATATATAACTTTATATAGTAAAGGTAACTCAAAGCCTTCTTGTTTTTGCAACAGAATTTAAGCAAGGAGAGGATTACAATATGCTTTATGACTAATTCTTTCCTTTAAGCCTTCTATACAGCAGTATGCTCATGTAGCTGAATGCAGCATGTGGTCAAAACTCACGGCTAGTCCAACTGTTGCTTAACTGGGCTTTAATTCGACCTCCCCACATAACTAGGGAGGGCAGATTCATTTGAAATAGACTTCTGTAAGGTAAGCTAGCCAAGAATGAAGGCATGGTGTTGAAGTATGTTTTATGCCAAAGTGAAGCTTCTTTAAAGCTCTCTTAATCCTGAAACACTCTGAAGAAAGGAAAAATAAAGAAAATTTGCTTTTTTAATCCTTCATCCTTCCCATGCAAAGGATCTGTCCTGGAACAGATGACTTCAATTCTTGACAAGAAGAGAAAAGACTTAAGCAAATGACACCACTCTGCCAATAAGGCCTCAGTCGCTATTGCCACATACTTTAATCTGATCTTCTCTGAAAAGATCCTAAAGTTCTCAAAGGGTACATCTCTCATAGTGGCTACTCAAAGTATTTTCATGACATCACAATTATAGCATCTTCAAGCACAATTTAGTTCAATTCAATTTAACTTTCTTCAAGTCCCTACTGTGTATAGAAACACTAGAGGGCCTGAAATGAAGAGAACTTGCATACATCAGAGATCTAGGTCCTCAAGGAACCAGAGGCAGGAGTGTATGCCCCTGGCAAGATTCACACTCATCAGAGATACACCTAAGTAGAAGTAGTATTTGTGCTATACACTGAAGGGTGAATAGGGTTTTGTTTTGTTTTGTTTTAAAGAAGAAATAGGGGAAAGAGATTTTAACATAAAGTCAGTCAATGAAAAATTATCTTTTATGTCACCTCCCCCCCCAAAAAAAGTCTCTGTTCTCAAGGACCTCACAGTCTAATGTGGGAGACAATATGTAGACAACTATGTTCAAACAGGCACAGCTAAGTGTCACAGTACATAGAGGCCCAAGCCTGAGTCAGGATGACTTGAGTTCAATTTTGGCCTTAGATACTTACTAACTGGGCAAATCATTTACCCTGTGCAAGTCACTTAACTTTGTTTGCCTCAGTTTCCTCTTCTGTACAATGAGCTGGAGAAGGAAATGGCAAACCACTCTAGTAAACCCCATATAAAGTCATGAAGAGTTGGATATGATTGAAACAAATGAACAACAACAAATGTTCAAATAAGATTGATGATGATAAGCAGTTATTATTTATATAATACCTATTATGTACCAGGTATGAACCTTAGAAATTTACAAATAAAAAGATAAATATAGAAAATAAATTTGTATCCAGAAGATAAAGCACAGGTTTTAATTTGGGTTTTAGGAAGATCGCTTTGACAACTGAGTGGAGAAGGACTAGATGGGGAGAGTAGATGCAGGGAGATCAACCAGTAGGTCACCATAAAAGTTCAAATACGAGGTGATGAGGGCCTGTATCATGGTGGTAGCAATGTCAGAGGATAGAAGAGGGAATATACAGAGACACTGGGAAGGTAAAACTGATAGACCTTGGCAGCACATTGGATACTAGGTGAGAAAGAAAATGATTAGTGAGGTTTATACTTAGTTTGCAAGCCTGGGTGTCTAAGAGGATGCTGGTACCTTTGACAGTAATGGAGATGTTAGAAAAGAGGGGGGTTTGATGGGAAAGATAATGAATTCAGCTTTGGATATGTTGAGTTTAAGATATCTGTAGGACATCCAGTTCAAGACGTTCAATAGGCTGATAAAGATGAGACTAGAAGTTAATAGAGAGGTTAGGGATGGATAAATAGGTTGAGAATAATCAGCATAGAGATTCTAATTGAATACATGTGAGCTGTTGAGGTCACCAAGTGAAATAATCTAAAGGAAAAAGAAAAGAGGGCTCAGGACACAGTTCTTTAGGACACCAGGAAAGCAACGGGAGGAACTGATTATAGATTGCTTTCTTAAGGAGTTTTGCTTCAAAAGAGGAGAAATATAGGACAATAGTGAGCATGGATGGATCAAGTGAGAATTTTTTGAGAATGAGGGAGATATGAGCATGTTTGTAGGCAGTAGGGAAGTAGCTAGGAGAGAAAGAGAGACAGAGAGACAGAGACAGAGAAAGAGAGAGAGAGAGAGAGAGAGAGAGAGAGAGAGAGAGAGAGAGAGAGAGAGACAGAGAGAGACAGAGAGACAGAGAGACAGAAAGACAAAGAGACACAGAGAGAGACAGAGACAGAGAGACAGAGAGAGACAGAGAGAGAGAGGGACAGAGAGAGAAACAGAGGGGAGAGAGAGAGAAAGGAAATAGGTGAGAGTGGGAAAGATTGAGAGGACAATCTTCTGGTAAGATGGAATGAAATATGGTCACTTGTGTATGTAAAGAAGTTTGCTTCTTTTAACAAGGAGAAAGGCCACCTCTTTATGTATGATAGTGGTGAAGGCATAATAGTGACAGAAGGCATATGGGTGATGTGAGATGAGCAGAATGGGGAGAGGAAGTAGCTCTCAGAGAATGCCTTCATTTTTTCCCCTAGATAAATATGACAGTTCTCAATTGAGTGAGAGAGGGAAAGGGAAGTCTGAGGGAGTCTGGGAGGCCTGTGAAGGAACAAAAAGGCTTGGAAAAGCCTTTGCAGTGAGTGGGATAGTGAGTTGATTATGGGACTGTAAAAAGATTGCCTTGATACAGTAAGGACCCAGTTCAGATTATGTTATGTAAATTTTCAGTGGATCTACTCAGAATGATTTTTCTGTAACTTTATTTAGCAACAAGTGAGTAGGAATAAACACAGTGAATGATGGGAATAATCCAGGGCTAAGGCTTGTCTGGGAAAGATCTCAAATGGGATTAGGGAACAGGGGATTTAAGAAAAGAGAACAGTTTAGAGTTCAACTGGTTTTTTACTGGGTCAAAAGGGGGAAGGGAAGGAAGTACAGCCAGTGCAGTGGTGATGGCTGGGGAAAGAACTAAGGTATTAAGGAACTGGAAGTCACAGTGAAGATAAGGAACAGGGTTTGGGGTTGCAAGGCAGAGAGAAGTGGATTGACAAGAGATTGTGATGAAGGAAGGGAATTTAAGAGTCAATGGAATTAAGATGGCAAGGTGAAAAGTAACATTTTTGCCTTCAGTCCTCCATAAGCTCCTTCACAGCAACAGAGAAAGTAAAATAGATCAAATTCTGATGGGGAAAATGAAGAAAAATTCATAGTGAATCATTTTTCCCAGCCCAGGGCAGCTTAGACAGATAGAGAAGTCTATCGATGCTGGGGTGGGGGTCTTGCTCAGAACACATCATAGCAGGATGGCAGTAGCAACAGCAATGGTAGGGAGCATTGGAGCACCCAGCAAAAGTAAGGGGACTGAACACCAGAGCAGGAAACACTTGGACAGAAAGAGATCCCAGGGCACCCCTGTATAAGCACAGGGAGGAGGAATGAGTGCTAGTTGGCAGCTCTTTCACCCATTACCCAGTCCCAGGTCACAGTTCCAAGGCAGAGTATTGGTTGCAAAGGAGCAGGGACTATCCAATGATATGATTGCCATAACTGATTACATAAAACAGCCTACACTGCTCTTGGCAGTAAATATGGGCCTCAGAATTGGGCAGCAGAAGTTTACGTTTATATTGCCTGTGAGCAGTAATAGTCTTCATAATTTGCACCTTCTGATGTGTTCTTCATTCCAGGAACCACAGAACAAATGGCAAAACATCTAAGACATAACAAAGTACTCTTGGTAAAATAAAGAAGTAAGATAATTATATTCACTCTACCATTACACAAAAATTATTTGTAACTAGTAACAACCTGGGGAAATTAACCAGTGATGGGGATATGAAAACTATTTCTTTTATGCATAACTAGGTATTGTAAAGGCAAGAATCAATGTCCCTCCATCTTCTCCCTTGTCTCAGCCAGTATTGGCATTAAAATTGGGCTGGAGTCCT